GGCTCCCTGTAAGCAACTAAATGCTGTTTTTACATGTCTTAATGATATAGGAACTTGGATAATAGACACAGGTGCTACATCACACATATACCATGATTTCAAAATACTTTCAAAACTCGTAAAACTAAAACGTGCAGTGCATGTCTCGCTATCAGACGGAACCACAAGTTACTCAACCCACAAAGAAACCATAAAGCTGTGTGATAATTTAATTCTACAGGATATCCTCTATATATCAAAATTCACTTGTAACCTTATATTTATCAGAAAACTAACCCAAACTTCAAATACCTACAATTCCTTTCATCCTAACCATTATTTTGTGCAGGATTTGACAACTAACAAAATATTGAGGAAGGGAACAATAATAAATGGCTTATACACCCTGAATGAAGACATTGATCTTAACAAAGCATGCATCAGCCACACCCAAGAAAACAACCTATAACTATGGCACAAAAGACTCGGTCACACATCCACAAAAAAATTGATCTACATCCCCAGTCTAAAGTTACCAGGCAGTGCAGCTCTACATGATTGTGAAATATGCACATTGACAAGACAACAATGTTTATCTTTCCCTAAAAGTTTCATCAATACCAGTGACATTTTTAGTTTAATACATGTTGACATTTGGGGACCATACTCGGTCAATTATATCTCTGGTGCACTCTATTTTTTAACCATAGTTGACAATTTCTCAAGAGCTGCTTGGACTTATTTATTAAAAGAGAAAACGAGTGTACCAAATACCTTGAAATATTTTTGCAATCTAATACAAAACCAATTTCAGAAAATAATCAAAACAGTTAGGACAGATAATGACACTGAGTTCATAAACACTTCATACAAAATCTTTTTTTAAGAAAAATGAATCATGCATCAGAAAACCTGTACATACACACCACAGCAAAATGGTGTGGTGGAGAGGAAATATAAACACCTATTACAAATTGCTAGGGTATTGATGTTTGAATCAAAATTACCAAAAAGATTTTGGACGACGTCATACTCACAGTCACACTCATAATAAACATTTTGCCAAGTTCTATTTTAAAATGGAAAACTCTTTATGAAATTTTATACAAAAAACAGCCGGATTACTCAAACCTAAAAGTCTTCGGTTGTCTATATTTTACTACAAATATTAACCCTAAAAAAGACAAGTTTGAATCTAGGGCTTTAAAATGTGTTTTCTTATAGTATGAACTCAATGCAAAGGCCTACAAATTATATGATATAACAAATAGAAAAACGATTTTGTCAATGAATGTCATATTTCATGAACATATTTTCTCATATCAAACAGAACACCCTAAATCAGATTACCATGACACACCACTGTCAATACCAAACAACGACACAATAACCACACCTGAAAACCAGTCACAGAGAAGAGAAGAAATTCTCTTACCAAACATCATTCTCCAAGAGTCTGAAGTAAGGAGGAGCATCAGGGTGAGAAACAAGCTCGCTTAGATGGAAGACTTTGTCGCCCATACCACCGAACAACCTATGTCAGAACTCCCCTTCTTCATGTCCACCTCACCTACATACAATCATGGCTATGTTAATTTCATTGTCAAAGTGTCTATTATGAAAGAACCAATGTCATACAGAGATGTTAAAAGGGACAGCAAGTGGATTAAGGCCATGCAAGTCGAGTTGTCCGCACTAGAAGAAAATAATACATGGAAACTAACTGCACTACCAAAAGGGAAGAAGGAAATTGACTCAAAATGGTTGTATAAAATAAAATACAATGTCGATGGATCAGTTGATAAATACAAAGCAAGACTCGTAGCTAAAGGTTACAACTAGGAGTTTGGCATAGACTATCATGATAGCTTCTCACCAGTGGCCAAAATGGTCACGGTTCGACTACTTTTAGCCGTGGCAGCCGCAAGTAACTGGCTAGTATATCAATTAGACATCAATAACGTGTACCTACATGGGTTTGTAGAAGAGGAGCTATACTTAAAACCCCCCAGAGGGCTACTTCAATATCAGTGAAGGGCAAGTCTGTCGTTTAACCAAGAGCCTGTACAACTTGAAACAAGCGGGTCGTCAGTGGAATAAAGAGCTTACTTCAAAGCTCCAATCAATCAACTTCACAAAGTTAGAAGCCGACTACTGTATATTAACAAAAGGAACAAAAGAAAACCACATTGCAGTTGTGGTATATATGGATAACTTACTTGTCATGGGTCTTAATGATGAAGAGATTTGCGAAGTCAAAAGCACCATGGATAAAGCCTTCACGGTCAAGGACCTCGGCCAAACGAGATATTTCTTTGGAGTCGAGATAGCTAGGTCAAAAGAAGGAATCTACATCAGCCAAAAAAAATACACCAAAGCTATTTTACAAGATGCAAAAGGAAGCCACTTTCCCCTGCCTTTCTGACTAAAACTAAATGCAGAAAAAGGAGAAATCTTACCAGATCCAGAGAGGTATAGATGCCTAATCGGCCGTTTGCTTTACCTCAACTTCAACAGGTCTGACATAACATACTCTACCCAACATCTCAGTCAGTTTATGCAACAGCCCAGACGGCCGCACCTCGACGTCGTACTACACGTTGTCAGGTACCTAAAGCAATATCTGGAGTAAGGCATTTTCTTCCCGAGAAAAATTAACCTTAAAGTTCAAGTCTTTTGTGACTCAGACTGGACATCGTGTCCAATGACCCACAAATCCCTCACGGGCTTCTGTATCTTCCTCGGGCCTGCACTAATCTCCTAAAAAATAAAAAAATAAGTTACGGTGAGCAAGTCTTCTGCAAAGGCTGAGTACAAAAGTATGTCATCTACAGTGTGTGAAGTTCAGTAGATAACCTATCTGCTTCGAGATTTTTAAATAGTACCCCACTTACCCATAATACTGAATTGCGACAACAAAGTCGCCGAGCATATCACGGCAAATCCGATTTTTCACGAATGAATGAAGTACCTCAACATCGACTGTCACATAGTTCGCAACTAGGTTTAAAAGAACTTCGTCGAAATGAGACATATCACCTCGAGGGAACAGCTCGCTAATTTGCTCACAAAACCTTTAGGAACCTCAGCACATCACCGACTTCTGTTCAAGATGAAGCACCTGCAACAAGAAAGTTCAAAGGGTTAAAGAAGTGATGGTGAGAAACTCAAAGAGTTGAAAGTGAACTGGCTTGAGGGGGCGGGTGAAAAGAATTAAGTGTAAAAAAATGGGAAAATGCTGAAAGAAAATGGACAGGTGGACTACCCAGATCAAAACCTAAAATAAAGGGTTTAGATTTTTTTTTCTGTTCAAAAGTTGGGGACAGCTGGTGGTCTCAGTCGATTCTAGAGACAACCTTCATCCTCTTTTCCTTGATTCCCCTGTATGTGTATATATTTCCAACATCCCACCCAATAAATACTATAGCAGATAATTAAAGAGTATTAAATACTCTCTATTCACCCCGTTGAGTTTTTTACAGGCATGCCTTTCATTTTGGTGATTTCTGTTGGAGGTAAAATCTTGTTATTTTTGTGTTTGTAATTTCAAAATAGAGAAAGAATAATACAAAAATTTAAATCTGGATATGTGGGTCTACAGTAAGAAAAAAGAGAGCAAAAAATACAGAGGAAACGCAAAGAAAAAGCAAAAGAGAATGCAACAGAGTAAGGAAAAGCTTTTGAAAAATGTGAACTCCATATTTTGTAGTTCGATCAGTCTTACAAATATATAGTATTTTTAAGAAAAGATATTTTGTTACAGCAAATAGAAGCTGTCGGCAAAAAAATCAAATAAAACATATCATTTTGTTAAGCAAAACAAGCAAGAGTTACTAATTTTATTGCTTCGAAACATGTTTTACCATTTCTTTCAACTACCACTTACTAATTAAAGCAGAATATAAAAAAAATAATCATAATTTTTTAATTTCAGCAATCACTGTTCAAGAAAAACTCAACTGGTAACAATTTCTTTGTTTGCTCATAATAAATTGATCAAAGTTTAGGATTCTTTATAGGTGTAAGAATGGATGAACTACAATTATTTATCCAAGATCAGCATAATAAAACGCAAAGCAATTTATTTTATTTAGACAACTAATTGCATGTGCAAGTTATGATATGTTTATCGGGGAATAAAGTTATGTAGCACTGTAAATATATATTTTTGAGAATATAAAAAAATTTCAAGTTAAATCTAATTGTTTAGAATATATCTTGTTAGTTAAAATTTGTTCTTGGCTTCAAAGCACTCATTTGGTATGCTCCCCCTTGAGGGGACGAAAAATCCTACACAGACATATCTATTTGACTTGCTTAGTTTAAAATTTTTAATAAAAATTGATTCAATTTTAATTTAAAATCTAAAATCAAACCGACCAAAGCTCCTTTGATTTCAATAAAAAGAAATAAAAAATTTTAAATAAATGATATGTTATGTTATACTTAGATATATATTACATATACTATATTTTACATATAATGATATAGTAGAGTTGGTAGTGATAATAAATAGTTAAATATTTATAATATTTTTAAATTAAATATTTAAAAAATTAAAAATATGTTAGTATATTCTGTTTTTTAATTATTTTTTATTCTAAAAATTCAAAATTAAAAAATTAGTAATAAAATTGACACGGTAAGTAATTAAACTGAACATGTGAATAAACTACATTGATCTTGTAAATTAGCTATGTTTTTGTTTGTTTTTAGATTTTAACCGGAAACTTGTTCGCTCGCAATTTTACAAGGTAGATAAACTAGTCTCCACAAGAAGAATTTGATGAAGAGAATGCACATTGATTTTTTTAGGTCAAACTCTTAGGTTTTTTCTTTGCCTCCCCTCGGTTTGTTTCCTAAGCAATTCCATTTAGGATTTTAATTATATTTTTAATAATCAATGCTAATGAATGGACCATTTTTCCTCAATGACTATGTGATTATTATTAATGTAATATTTTTAATCACAATAAGACACACATCCTTTTATCTCTTGAGTGATAAATTTTTATTCATTCTTTAGATGATATGTAATAAATTAGATTCACAAAATGCCAAAACACAAATTCTCTCTCCCTTCATGATACAAGATAACGTGCCACGCGGCAGAAAAAAAGATGCCCAAAAATGTTGAGAAAAACTAAAAACTGATCACATTTTATCCAATAACCCAGACAAACAATGAGCACCAACACAAGTCTTCTCCACTCCAAGCTCACAACCCACCATCTCCCATTAATCACAGCATCCTCATCTTCCTCACATCAAAATCATGTAAGCACCAGGAGAAACATGGTCGCGAAGATTTTGGCTGCAACTGCTATGGCTGTTGGGTTTCAGGGAGGCGCACCATTGGCACTACTGGCTCACAATTGGGGCACGAGGTCCTTCATCTGGGAGCGATTCTTCCAGCCAGGGCTGTCGCCGGAGGACGCGGTGGAGAGAATCAAGCAGACGGCGGAGGGACTCCACAGCATTAGGGAGATGGTGGAAAACATGTCGTGGAGGTATGTAATCTTTTACATTCGCTTGAAATCTGCTTATCTTTCTCAGGATTTGAAGAACGCTTTGTCTACGTTGCCTGAGAATCGTCGCAAGGAGTACGTAGAAACCGCCAATGAGTTGGTTGATAACATGGCCGAGGTAAAGAATCATTATTACCATACATTAAACTTTTTAAATTGCAGCTTTTGATTATTGATTAATCAGATTTTTTTTTTTTCTTGGGTTTTGCAGTTTGATTATTATGTTCGGACACCAAAAGTGTACGAGTCATATATATACTATGAGAAGACATTGAAATCAATTGATGATCTTGTGGCCTTATTAGCCTAATTAGCCGACTATAATTCAAACCGCATTTTGCTGTAATCTTCTTCTTTATCGATTCAGTATCACTTTTAAGCAAATAGGTATATCTATATATATGTTTTTTTTTTATTTTGTTTATATCAATTATAGAAACACAGCACTACTTTTCAAATTTAATTAACCCCTGAGAAACAGATAGATGTCTTCACATTATAACTTGATAATGCAAAGAAACACTTCAGTCTTGTGGTGGAGAGATTGGGAGAGATGAAATGATGATGATGAGCATCAAAATGATTACTGAAGCAAATGAGCCAATTAAGGACCCAGAAATACGCCCGCAAAAGGAGTTGTATTGTTGACAGAAAGCAACCCAGTTGGCCTTTCCGTTCCCCTCGCGTGCTAAGTGAACAATGGCGGCTGCTGAGGAAGCTCCACCACTCACCACACTCAACATTATCTTGTTAATCACCAGAATTAAATACAAGTTAATTCACAGATATTTGAATGACTGAACTGAGAAAAAAATAATAATGATAAAAAAAAAAATTGGTACCGTGTCGAAGACAACCAAGATTATCTTTGTGTTTTTGGCTGCAGCGTGAGTGATGTGGATGATTGACAAGAGTAGGGAAAGCACAAGATAAGCACATGCAATTGAATTGGCAATCACAAAGAACCTGTTTGGGCATGATTAATATTTCAAGTAAGTTTTCCTTTTAAAACAAGAAACTAAATTAAATATGAATCAAGAGATTGAAGAAAAACTCACGTGAAGGTGGGGAAATCATGGAAGTTGAGTCTGGAGATATTTAACTGGGTCGAAAATGGCAGAGTTTGATTAGCAGTGACCATGATTATAGCACTTATGAGTGTTCCAACAGCTGCAACAATTCTCAGCATCAAATCTAGTAGAGACATCCCTAAGCTCAGCTCAGACTTTGAATTATTTGATACTATATTAATTACTTGCCCTGTCTTCATTTTCTTCTTCTTGATTGCTTTGTGGTTCAAAGTTGGGAATAGATAAAGCATTTATATAATAAAAGCTTGAAGAGCAAAGCAAACTTGGATCTTACTTAAAGAATGGAACACCAAAGACAATGGAAGTTGGAATTTGCTTTGGTAATCATGCAATTATATGTCGTTATGTGATAGGCTGCAACATGTCCATATGAACCCTGTTTTGTACACATCAATATATATATAATCCAATCCTTACCTGCTCTGTATGAATTCCTATACTACAGTACCCAAATAGTTATGTTACTTTTTCATGGCATGATGCATGATATGAAATTCTGAAAAAGACTATATGAAGTTATACAGAGATGAAGAAAATGACAATAGAAATAAAAAGATATGCAGAAAGAAGTTCGTTTGATTCGTAATATATTGTATAATCATGAGAGTACAAATTACAAATTATATTTTCAACACTCTCTATTAATTTGCAAATTTCTTTTTCACTTCAAAAGTAGTACATAATCTTTAAAAAAAATTTAAATTTGAGTAGTTTGACAAAAATAACTACAATTTGATCTTGAGTCTTCACATATTTGAGCTTAACTTTCTTTTTAGTGATACAATTTTTAATAAAATAGTATCTTATATCTATGTATTTACTTCATTTAATGAAACATCTAATCGAAATATCCATCTAACTATCTTATTTATAATCTATGAAATATGAGCTTTCTATAAATAATAAAATTGCATAATTTACATTAAAATTGAAGAATATATAAACTTTTAAATTTTAGCATTATAGCAAAAAAATCATGCGGCACTAATGTTTTTGCTATGCTTATGATTTCTTCGATCAACTTTTAGTTATCAAATTATTTTATCTAGATATTATGAACTTTTCATATATTAATATATTGCATAATTTAGAAAGAAATTAGGAAATTTATGAATTTTTAGAATTTTTGGAATTTTTTTTTTTGAAAAAAAGCAAGTTACACGGAAGTAGTATTTTGTCTACATTTTCAGTTTTTCTGGCCAAGTTATAGCTACTAAAATTATGCATCTATCATTTAGATACCATAAACTTTTTTGTTGACATCAAAATTGTGTGATTTGGATGAGAATTAATAAAATTATGAATTTTAAAATGTTTAGGACTGTGGGAAAAAAATATATATAAGTCATTATACCAGTTTTAAACTTCCAAATCTCATTTTTTTTATAATCTTTTTTATTAATTCTTTCATTCTAAGTTAAAGTCTCACAGTTCTACTTTATGGATACATGAGATTCATTTCCTAATTTAGTTAGTATTGGAAAATTTTAATTTATAAAATTAGACATGTATTATGCAAATAGAACAATTTAAACCAAAACGCGCATCTGAATCTATAACGAAAGAGATCTTCGCATCCTGTAATAGATCTTGCAAATCAACATTTGGTTGTAAAACGTTGATTTTCATTGCTGACAGGATAACAAGAAATAAACAAAATGCATATGTGTAATTTGGGGAGCATAACCGTTTTTTATGTTGTCGACTTTTATCATTTTTTATTTTGATCATCATAAAATGAAAAATTATAAATATGATATTTGTACATATTATAAGTTCATACCTAAGTTCGATATATTAAAATTTATAACCGTTTAACCGTAATTGATCACTTTTAAACAGATTTAATAAACTAATAGCATATTACGCATATTAAGATTCATATCAAATCCACTTGTTGATAAAAAAATCAATATAGTATAGTTGAGAAAAAATGTGTGAAGATATAGGATTGTTCATATATTATATATTGGAGTTATAGGTGATAGAAAAAATATGAATTTTAAAGTAGTTACTTTTAAATTAAAATTGATCCGTAGCTTACTTACATGCCCCCTATAGATCACGTAATATAAAGCATTATGCCTTTCATTCTTGTGCATATGTATTACCTAAATTTTTTTATGTTTGTTTGATATTTGAATTTGATAAGGTTTTAAAGATATTATGATGTTTTTTGAAAAATAAAATAGATTTAATATTATAGGTGAGTGGTAATGAAGTATAATTTTTATAATATTTAAAAATTATTTTAATTTTCATAAGATAATTAAATTATTTAGTCACTCTAGAACTATTTATAAATTTCATAAATTTTCTAGAGTACATATATAATGTGTAATTTATATTTGGAGTATAAATTTTAAATAAAGCTTATATTTTGGAAAAGTTATTTACTTTAAAGAGAATAAAAAATGATTTGAGAATAAGGAGAGGAGAGGTTTATAAGTTTGTTTTGAAAGTAAAAAAAAAATATATATTTTAGGCTTTATTATAAGAAAGTATGTATCACCCAAATTATAAGAGGTTAAATATAATTATAGATCATAAATCTTGTGAAAGAGATATAATACGACGATAGTTATTAAATATATTGAGAAATTTTACTTGATTTATGTAAATTCTCAATGCATTCACATAAAAATTAATTTACAAATATCTCAAGAATTGTTTTACTATCTCATCTTTTTTATTATATATTAAGGATGTTTTATATCACGAATCAAATATACTTAATCTGATTAATTTAGACGTTTGATTATTTAGTATTGGATAAATCTTCTAAATTAAAACTTTAATTTATAATTTTTAAAATTGAAACTTTTTAAATAAGATACTTCACTAATCCAAATACAAAATTTAATTAATATATTTTAATTTTTTGTATCAAAATTTTTAGTCACTCACACATCTCGTGTACCTTATTGAGCATTTAGTCATTGCGCTTTCTTTCTTTATTAGTAAAAGAGGAAATAATCCCACCAAAACTAAACTGACAATCAGGACCATGGTTTCTCTTGTGAGTGCTTTTCGGAGGGAAACTGAAATGAATGCGGTAAAGGGATGCCCGCATAATAATTTCTATATGTAAAATAGTATTTAGATTATTAAAAGGTTAGAAGCAAAAAATAAGATACATATGGGGAATGTGAAATGAAATTTAATTTGTAATGCAAATTTTTTAAGATACGCAGAATTCTTCTTTTTTACTTTTTTTTCAAAGAAGGTCTCAAACATTATTTATACAAATATCTAAAACCATCTCCCGCTTTATGTTTGCCGCAAACATCAGTTATACGTACGTACAGTGGAAGAATGATACTCTATCCGTCTCTTCCCTCTTCCCTCATCTCCTTCAACAACACAACCCAAACACCTCCATATCATTGTGTTCCCAGAAAAACTCCACAAAAACAACACCTCCATTTATTATCTGCCTCCAATCCATGTTCGTGTGGAAGAAGGCTCTTTCTTCAAACTGCTGCTTCCACAGCTTTCCTCCCCATTTGTCCCTCCCTTGCTTCTCATTCACCTTCCGATTATCTGGTATCTTCCTCTTTCTCCAATTTTATTATTATCTGTCTATTGTTTCAAATTTAAAATTGATTTAATTACAGTTTCCTTTTATGTTTTCAGGATTGAATCTCTAATCTCTATCTCATTTTAGATCAGTGTTTTCCTTTTTTCTTTTTTTTTTCTTTTTTTTTTTCTTTTAGTATGTCTACTAGTTAATGTATTTGTAAGGCAGTCACAAAATGGAAACCTTTTCCTCTGTAGGGTGTTTTGCAAAGAGTCCATCCTCCGAGGCCCGATTGGTACGAGGAGTTTTATGCTTCGGTTCTCAATACATCCATGGAATCTTATGAGGCAGAGGTTAGTGTCTATGGATTCTTTTTTATGTTGAAGTTTTGGTGTTCATATCGTAGAAAGTAGCTTTCTCCTTTTGAGTTTATGCAAATACTAAACTCTGAATATCGGAAGCTATCTTCTATTTCTGTGGTTAGATTGCAGGTTACAAGTTACAGCTCTTTGATAATCTGTTAGAGAAGGCCAAGAAGATATTGGAGATTGGCATCGGCACTGGCCCCAATCTTAAATACTATGCTGGTCATACTGATGTTGAAGTTTTTGGCGTGGATCCAAATCAAAAGATGGAGAAGTATGCTCGGGCTGCTGCAGTTAATGCAGGTTTACCCCCTGCAAATTTTAATTTCATCCATGCTGTATGTGTACTTACTCCATTCATTACTTATTTACTGAAATTTCATATCATGTTGAAAATTATTTTCAGTTAGAAAGTTTTCTGAAGTTAAGGCTATACGAGTACGGAATTTGCATTTCTTATGAAAATAAATAGGAAACTAGAAGCATTTTCATTCACACTTAAACCTCACCTTTCATTATCTTAAATCTTATAGAAAAGTAAATCCATTTGTTTCCAGATAGAAAACAACATATACAATTTGTTTTCATGGTTGTTCGCTCACCCAGTCTTGAAAAAAATAGAGGTTGGATTGCTCACATCTTGTATTAGAAAACAAAGTATTTGTATAAGAAACAGGTCTCTGGTTTAGGAGTAAAAATTACGAAGCTACAGCTGATATTAGCTTGGAAAACAGAAGCTTAGTTGTATCCTAATTTCAGTACCCAATAATAAAAAAGATTGGCTAATATATATGGTAATTACAGCCAGAATATATAATATCTGTAAGACAAGCCCCATGCCTCATTGAAGCATTAAGATGACGAACGCCAACTTGCTGAGAAGAAAATGTTATGATCATGCCTCAAAACCTTAACAAACGTTTCTTCAAGCTGAAATATTTATTGCAAGTGGTCAAAAACAATGTGACAAGTGGATCTCAATGTATTTAGTTTTCTTGTGAACGACTGGTTGGCAGCAACGTGTAAGGCAGACTAAATGTCACCATGTGGAAGCATTGGTTGTGGCTGTGGAAGGATAAGATTAGCAAGCAGTTCGAGTAACCATATGAATTCACTAGTAGCATATGCCATTGTCCGATTTTCTAATTAAACAGAAAAGCAAGAAACCATGGCTGTTTTCAGATTTTTGAGAAACTGGAGCAACATCAAGTAGGATGAAGTAACCTGTAACAAATCATCTTATCGTGGAACAACTTGCTGAATAGGCATCACTATAGGCTTTGATGTGAAAGCCATTAACTGAAAGAAAGAAAATTCCTTGTCAAAAAGAAGTCCTTAAGTAGCAAAGAACATAGAAAAGCCGAAGTCATTGATGATTGGTCAGCTCAATTGGTAGGCAGAGTGTTCTTCTGGAATCAGCATTTCTGTTTCATACTTCTATCCATATTCAAAATGGTCGCTCCTGTAAGTAGGATGCTTGGGAATTAGTATGACCAATATATTTGACAAATGGTAAAGACTTCTCCGTAATCTGAGGCCAGTGAACATTATGGTGAAGAATAATGATTATCAAGATTATTTACCTTGGTTATCCTTATTCTTTTATTGCTTTGTTATATTCTCTCTGTATATTTCTCCTGTTTGATAACAGGTTCTGGATGATTAGAAGTATTGATGCTTCTCAAAGATTTTAAGTACAAGAAATAAAATTCAAAAGGAATTTTATGTGAAAACATCCTTTACAGATACGTAGCCATCAGCATTTTCTTTTATAACTTAGACGCTTTCAATATTACTGTCTTGAGCCTGCTTCCTGATTACACTTTTTCAATTTTCACATCGCTTTGTTGTCTCCTTTTATGTGATATGCTCATTGGTTTTGAAACTAGAAAGTTTTTCTTTATTGGAGGACTTTTAAAGGTATTAGTATTGGTGTTAAATCCAGGTTGGCGAGGCTATTCCATTACCCGATGCTTCTGTTGATGCAGTTGTTGGTACCCTAGTACTATGTTCTGTTAAGAATGTCAATCTGACACTAAAAGGTAATTGATTTTCTGTTCTTTGAGTTTCTTCTAGGTTTTTTATGGCCTGGAGGAAAATTATTGAGTTTTGGCTAATTGATCTGTCTCTTTAAATTTTACTGCATTTTCTTTACATATGAGTTGATGACCAGCAAAGTGGATTATCTTTGTGCTAACTCTGAGGAAATGGTCCATCTAGCTCATATCTGAAATATTTTGATGAAGTTCTTGAGATATGAGCTAAAATCACCAAGCGTTACATTGCAAGTGGCTAGGGAAATCCATTAGAGAATAGAACAGTCTTCGTTGGAGAATAAAGAATGCTAAATTTGTAATGGAGACTAAGGATTTGCATACTAGAACCACGAGACGTTCATATGGTGTTGGATTATGGAAGAAATAGGCATAGTAAGAAGACGATTCATGGGTGTTTCTGGTGGAAAATTGGATCAGGTCAAAGGGTGAATTTCTGGTTGGATCAATTGAGCGAGCGTGGTAACTTGTGCAATGCTTTCCCACGACACACTATTTAGCTAGGAATGGTGAATCTTTTCCAACTCTCTAGGTAATGGTGTTTGGGCGTGGTTCTAGACAAGGAACCCCATAATTAGGAGGTGAATGACTTTATTTAAATGTTTGTCCGGACGTGCAAGGCCAAATGAGGCCTTGAATAAGCAGGGTTGGAAGCTCAGTTCAAAGGGGCCTTTTCGGTGAAATCCTACTATCTTTTATGGAAAAGAGCAAAACAATCAATGTGAATTCATATAAACTTATTTGGAAAATCAATATTTCACCTAGATAATCTAATTAAAAGTTGAAAGTCATTGTGAATGAGTGCTAATTATGTAAGAGAAATGCGGAATTTGGCAATCACCTCCACCTTTGGTGTCTTTTTTCTTATCAGCTTTGGTTTATAGCTCAACAGTTGGGTTGGTTAAGAGGAAATCTGGACATGGAGAGGCATTAATTGGAATAAGTGCTACAATGAGAATCTATACTTTATTTCTCTGACTACCTTATGGGTCATTCAGAAAGAAACATAAGAAGTTTTAAGGTCATAGAACTTTAGGATCAACAATGTTTGGCCCCAGATTCCAAGTTCTTTTCTTAAGGATTATGCTCTTAATACTTACTAGGAGTTTGGGACATTATCGATATTTTGGCATATAATTGGACATTTGTTTACAAGTTGCACCCATTTTTTGCCTTTATATATTATACTAATTTTTAACTCTTAAAATATAATAATAAATGCTTGGGTGCTGAATTTAAATAGAACTCTTGGACAATTTTGATTTATTCTCTGTGCAAAAGCTCAAGGCTCAACTTGAGAATATAAAGGCATCGGGTTATCATTACCTGTGGCAATAAGTAACCACCAAATTGCTAGGGTCCTAAGATTTAAACCTCCATGTATGACTGTAGAAATTACAGAGAGATTGAGGAAGAACAAAGATGAGGAGAAGAGAACGGGAAAGAGAATTAGAAATTAGGGGAAGAGAGATGGAGAGATTGTAAGAAATTATCAATTCGTATTCATTCTTGTTGCCTAATGGGTGTTGCAATGGAATGTAGAGAGACAGCTGGCCATTTGTATATTCCACCCTAATTTCTAGAACATTCTAATCTCTATTATCATAACAAATGACCTTAATTAAGAGAAGTAATAAGGTAATGAACCATAATGAAAAACATTGAAGAAAATTCTTGGGAAATTAGTAAGTTCCTAACGCAAATCTAATAAATGTTTTTAATCACAATATAAGTTTGGTCCTACTAAATAGTAAATTATGATTTAATGATCCTTCTTAACTTCTAGTCTTTTTTTTTGGAGTTGCGTCCTTATTGCTTGAAATTTTCGAATTGTTTCAATGTAGCCGATACTGATCCTTCATAGCTATTCTGTTGTATGATCCTTCTTAGCAAGTTGTTTCCCTGTAGCTGATACTCATCCGTCATAGCTATTCTATTGAATGATCCTTTTTTTCCGTGTAGCTGACACTGATCCTTCATAGCTGTTTTGTCCTGTCTGTCCATTGCGTTATCATATATTATGAGACCTGTAACAATTTCAATATGCTACTATACAATTTAATCATTGGATTCAGAAGTGAAGAGGGTGCTGAAACCAGGGGGCCTTTACATCTTCATTGAACATGTGGCTGCTAAAGGTATATTCTTGAATCTCTTTGTGGTGATGTGTTCTAAGGAGTGTGGAAACTGGTGAACAGTCTCCATTCTTGTGTTCATGGTAGTGCAGATGGAACAGTTATGAAACTTGCACAGATTTTGCTTGACCCTTTGCAAGAGCTGGTGGTTGATGGATGCCACCTGACCAGGGAAACTGGAAAAGAAATATCTGAAGCCGGGTTTTCTAAGTTGGTACTGAGCAAGGAATTTATATCCAACATTCCTTTAATAAATCCGCATGTGTATGGAATAGCATATAAGTAAAAAACCTGGAAGTTTCAAGCTGTAAAGTGCCATTTAAGTTCAACAAAGGGCGAAAATATCTTAGTTATGAAGGATGGTTACTTTGAGAAGGTTTGTTATTTCCGCCTACCTTCAAAACTTTCTTTGAAGCTTGTACAATGCAATAAAATGCATAAAGGCGTATTATATTATATAGATTTTGGCTAGAGAAAACATTTCGGTTATCTGAGACTCTGTTATGATGTCCTTTATTAATTTTTTTGTTAATATTAGTTTTACATTCTGTTGAAGTTGGTGTGAATCGCCCTTTGTGCATTAGTTCAATTTTGAATGGCGAGGAACATATGTTATATAATACCCGAGTTTGGAAAATTGGCTTGAAATAAATTTTGTTAATTTTAATATGTATAAAAAATATATTTTATAAATTAATTTAATGAAATTTTTGTTATATTTGGGAAAAAAATAAATTAGGGATTAGATTAAAAATAATTTTAAAAAAAATGGGTGAAAATTTAGAATTTGAGGATATTTTTGAAAGAAAAATAAAAAATTGAGAGTCTAAATGCAAATAAAGAAAATTTGGCTCTATAGGACCGCCCAATCAGCAATATCGATGAATTAGAGTGCGCTGCGTGACAAAACACGCTGACTTGGTGTCACGTGGGAGGTCACGCTAGCTATCCGTGTGCCCCACGATCGAACGACCCATAAGTGATTCCGTGTGTGTGGATAGTCTGGATCTGTTTCCCTCCTTAGGTGTGACCGGATGGTCGAGATCAAACGCGATGAACGGTTTAAATTCGTTTTCTCCTTAGGTGTGATCGGACGGTCGAGATCAAATGCGATGAACAGTTTAGATTTGTTTTCTTTTTAAGCGCGATCGAACGGTTGAGATCAAAGATGATGAACGGTCCAGATTAACACAATATGAATATAAATATTTCACATCACACTGAACCCGAACCCTAATTGCCAGTCTCCTGCCGGAGAAAAAGAACCAGTCGTCGGAAAAGGGAGACGACTGCCGACCGCTGCCACACCGAAGCCACCTCCTACTACAAAAAAAGGTAAAAATTCTCATACGTACTCGGAATTCAATTCTGAGCACTCTTGTGGCTATATCAGAGCAAAACGAACTGCGAGTAAGCTGAAAATCGTGGGTAAAGCCTGGCGGAGCCGCCACGGACAAAACCTGCAACCTTCTCCAATGAACTCTTTTTCGTTTTTCGTTTCGTGTGATTTTTCTACTGTTGTGTTCACCGTTTTGTTTTTTACAGCTTGACCGAAGAAAAAAATCTCAGTCGTGAAGGTGAGCTGGCGAAGCAACCGCACCCGAAAACCCCACCACTGGGAGGTTTTCATTATTTGTTTTTTTTTATCAACCGAGACTTCATAACGTGTTTTTTCATAAGGATATGTATAAAAGCGGCCGAAATCGATCAAAACCAACCGAAAACGGCAGACCGAGGCAAACCACCGCAGTGGGCAATGGTACCATCCCCGGAGTATAGCCGTGCCACCGTGACCAAACTCTGAAATTAGATAAAAAAAAAAAAAGGATTTTTAACACCAATTTTAGATTTTTAGAGTATTTTTAGGTACGTGAAGCATGTTTTAATCTTCGCAAGAAAATTCAGGAAATCCGGGGACCGCCAGTAGGCGCAGTAGAAAGTTCAGTATTTTGAACACCAATTCTAGTAAGAATCTCTCACTCTATTCCTTGTTACGGAATTGAAGCTTAATAATCAATAAGATGGTATTTTGTGAAATTTAAAAAAAAAATTGAGAATAATTACAAGTCACTAATGGAGGCAGAACTGATTAGTTATTTATTTATTATGTTTAATTGATTATTTGAATTTAAAGCTTTTAATACATGATAATATATTGGAATAGTTAAATAATTCAGTTGTGCTTCATTTATGCATATAACGCTTGTCTTGCGTAATTTACGGTTGATTTGTGAAATTTGAAATTAATATGCAAATGGAAAATTATTTAGTTATGTGAATTAATGAATTGTTGTTTTACTGGATATCTTAAAAGATAGTAAACGGATTGGGTACATAGGGAATCTTATCGTGAATGTTACTTCATACCGGATGGGGTATTGAATGATGGTATTTTTTGTGCTCATACTAGACTGGATATGGGGATGGTCCGATTCACTCTCATACCGAATGGTGTATTAAGAGATGGTATTTTTAGCACTCATACAGGACGGAGTATCAAGAGATTGTATTTTTGGCACTCATACCGGACGGAATATTGATGGATGGTATTTTTGACACTCATACCGGATGGGGTATAAGGACGGCCAGTTAGTTAACAAGTTTAGATATTAGGTTCACGCGTAGTAGGACACACCTATGAACTCCCAGGGATACCAGTAAGCAAAATAAAAAGGAAAAGTTGTTGATTTTACTCATTTAAATATGATATCATAATGTTATTTGAGTTATTATCGTTATAGATCAGTTTTGGAAATCTCGCAATAGTAAGTATTCAATAAATGATTTTTCTTATGATAAATGAATTTACTTAAATTAAGAGTTTCATCGGTTATTTTTATCATTTTTACTAACTTTCGATTTCTGTATCGATGAGTAGTGTGATATTTTTATTGGGTTAATGTAACTTACCTCCTCTCCTATTAATCATTTCATATCAAGAAAATTAAGATTTAGATCCTGACCAGCAAGAGGACTGTGAGTAGGTGGCTCCTCGAATCCTATCAAGAGTTAGTGGAGGTTAACCTCCTTACAATATTTATTTACTATTTTCATATCTTATTACGTTTTTTGTTTTATGAACCGCTGTGAAATGGACATTTATGTACCTCTATTGGACATGCTAATTTATGTATAAGAAATATAAATTTTAATGTTATTATATGCTTCCAAATTTAATTTATGACCTTATTTCCATTTAAGTTCTGGATCTTTACATGTTAACCGGAAGGTAGTAGTGTCATATAACTTGTGCGTTTCTCCTATTATGTAACATTTTTTTTTTCGGACAATTAAGCTCTAAAATTATTTGATGAATTATTAAGAAGGAATGCTTCTATATATATTCATTTAATTTGTAAATAATTATGTTAAATTATTCTTCTACCAGGTTTTAATATTTGGAGAAAACTAGTCATGCATTAGTCAAGTTTAATTTGTAAATAATTAAGTTAATATACATTTTAATTGACTACAAATTATACACTAAATATAATTAGTGTGACAGTATTGATATGTTAATTGATTTTTTAGTTGATTCTTTTTAGTACCTCATTTCGTTTTTCAAAATTTTTATAGACAATTAAAGTATAATAATTTTTTTTATATCATTATTAAATTTTTTTTACTTTAACATAATTTTTGTTAAAATAAAATATTATTTATATTATCATTCATACAAATATAATTTATTTAAATTCATATTAGCACATAATATAAATTTAATTTAATAATATTTAATACATAAATTCTTTCTAAAATTAAATTGTGTGTAATATAATATAAAAATGTCATTTAATCGAAAAAGGTGGTATTCTAACTTGGAATTTAGGAATGATATGTTACAAATATGCTAAACATAAAGGGCTTCACTGCAAAAAGTGCTTAAAAACTAAATTAATAATATTCTCCATCTACCCGTTAAGTTAGGGTTGTATTTTCATTATTGTTAAGTACCATCAAGAAAAGTTCCAATCAGAGACTTCACTCTTTTTCCTTCGTTCTTTCAACTTTGGACGCTAAGTTCTCTCTTACACATTGTCTCTTGGTGGAATTTCAAATCGTTAGGTTACTTGATCCTCTTCCCTCATTTGAGTATTTTTTTTTTTTTACCTTTACTCTGTTATACAAGTTAATTATGTTTGCTCAAATCAGTTGCATCAGTTGATTTTTATCCTCTATTTGTAGGTTCTTTATAAAAAAAAATCCTGCTGAGTCATTTATTTCATAAGCTTACTGAGGTTATTTGAAAGAAAGGATACATTTCCCTTTTATCTTAGAACTGGATACTACCTTCTGGTTGTTTCTAATTTGGAAAATGTGGTATTAGAAAATATTTGATTTTTCTTTTCTTTTTTTTTTTTTTTTGGCGCGGGGTTTGGGAGAGGGGGTGCGGGGAGGTGGAGTTGGTTTAGGGTTGGGTTCTTACGTTCACTTTAACTGGAAGCAGATAGGAAATGAAATATCTGCTTTGCTACCAATCCCTTTTGTGGGTTGTGATTGTAGATGCTGCTTTCACTTTGTTTTGCTTATAAAACGTTATATGCGTTTAGTTTTTTCAGTAGCATTTTAGAAATGAAGTGGCTCCGGTTGTTATGTCTGCTTTATTAAGTGTACCAAAGGTGACAATTATGAGTTTTCCATACTCATTTCTAATTTATTTCATGATTTTTCTGAAGAGTTAAATTGTCTTCTCCTCTGAAGCCGTATTGTGTTTGTCTTACTTTTTTCCATGATGCTAGTGCATTCTTGAAGAAAGATTTCGCTTCTGAAGGTACATTACGTTGAAGGGAGCTTATGTTATGTATTGTTGACGTCAATGAAACAGGGTTTATCATGCTTCACCTGGGGTGCGCCTATTTCATTTGTTAATTTATATATAGTGAGATTCTACAAATAACCCTTTTAAAATGTCCAGAATCAGGCAACAAGTACTCTTCCATATTGTAATATCTCCTCGGAAACATTATATCCTAGAGATGTTATAAAATTCTGGCAAGACTTAAGGAGTCAAGCAAGTGGGATTGGTACTGCAGAGGCCTATAGAAATAGCTAAGACGGGGTCACTTTGTTGTGTGGCTGCAAGGCCACATGGATCAAATATGGCAGGTAGAGATTGGTCTATGGGTTCACATGAGCCCTATTGGAGACCTAATTCAAGCTTCTCTCCACCACCATCAAGATGGGATTTCAGATTCCAGTCGGAAGGACTGCCATATGGAGATGATGGTGTCCAATTCTATGGTTCTACATCATTAAACAACAAGGAAAGTCAAAGCTGGGTGAGCGACAATGTTCATCAATATTCTACATCTGGTGGTGCTGGGCCGTTCCCAAGTAATCTTTCTGACCTTTCTCAGGGTCCACAGTGGACGCCTCCGACAACACAGGAAATCAATATCAATGATTATGAAACTGCTGCAACGCGAGGTAATTATTATTGGGAAGCACATTTCCTTTTCTTTGACTTCTTTTTTTAGGTTTAAGACACTTTCCTCACTACTTTGGGATCTCAACAAGTGCATAAGAATTTTCTACTTCCTCCTAGTTGTTGTTGCAATATAACTGCTGAATTGTGATATGCTCTATTCTTACTAGTAGAAGAATAAACTGAAATGTTGTTCTTATTATGTTGGAGGAATAGTACATGATATTTTTTTGGAGGAAAAAGAAATGAGTATTATTAACTAGGTACCAAGGGAGTGCTACCCAGCTACAAAAGAAGCTTCACAAGTTTAGATTCGAAACTAAAATATCAATAAGGCTCTCTAAATCCTTTCTGTTGCTAAATTAAACAAACAATCTCATGGTCTTGAACAAATGATGTCTTGATAAAAAGGAGAGTAATGCTATATAAAATCATGTTTCTTTTTTTCTGAAATAAAAGTATAAAAAAATC